AGGATATTCAAACTTTAGCTATTGGCCCATTAATACAAGCAAAAAGAATGACTGGCTATATATGTGATGGAGTTAGATACTTAACAGAGTCTCGTGATGTTAAGAGAAAAACTCAAAGTAGTGGTATTATGTTAAAGACTCACTCAAAGTTATGCAAGCACAAAAGATAAAAATCCCATATTGGCAGAGGTTTCTTTTTATGGAATCCTCACAGACATAATTGAGTTATATTATTCCAAGAATCTCAAGTTTGTATTGTTTAAATGTAAATGGGTGAACAATAGCAAGGGGCTTATTGAGAAAGATGATTATGGATTTACTCTTGTGAATTTTAATCATTTACTCTATACAAGACATCAGTTATCAGATGAACTATTCATCTTTGCTTCTCAAGCTCAACAAGTGTTTTATGTCGATCATCCTATGGAAAAGGAGTGGCAAATGGTTGTTAAACTTAAGCTAAGAGGTTTTTATGATTTAGGTGATGACACACCAACAATTGAGCATAAGGAAGGGCATATGTAGTTGTCGCCTAAACAACAATTGGATGACACAACATTTGAAACTGAAGAAGACATTGAATGGGTTAGAGAAGGAGTACCAGGATTAGAAATTGACCCAGAAACTTTGGAAAGTAATGAAGCATATGATGAAGATGACAACATATCTTAGTTTTTGTTACTATAGTAGTATAATCACTATTTCAGTACAATTGATTTTTGAACAATAATGACTTTGATGTTTTTACTCTTTATTCAGCTGTTAAAATGTCATAAGTTTATATATCTTATTATTTGACATGATAGTTAGATATTATTTTATACTTTTATATAGTAGAAACTACTTTAAATTTGGCAGGATTCATAGCTTCTAAGGAACTTCGTTGAAATGGCAAGAAAAAGACACAGAAATTCTAGTCAAGGTGATCTTTTATATGATTCTTCGGAGCAACAAAAACAACAAATCAGAAGTATGTCAATGCCTCAATCGCCCCAAAATTGGGCCCAAAATGAAAGAGATGAATCGCATGATACAAAAAATCTTCCAGGTATTAAATATCATGATATTTATTCTTCCTTTTATAGTTATAAAGTAGTTAGATAATTTTTATATAAATAATAAATTTACCTCTTTTTATGTTTGATTATTTATAGATTCTGAGCAACAAAAACAACAAATCGGAAGTATGGCAATGCCTCAACCGCCCCAAAATTGGTCACAAAATGAAAGAGATGAATCACATGATACAAAAAATCTTCCAGGTATTAAATATCATGATATTTATTCTTCCTTTCATAGTATAACGTAGTTAGATAATTTTATATAAATAAAAAATATGCCTCTTTTTATCTTTGATTATTTATAGATTCTAACCAACAAAAACAACAAATCGGAAGTATGGCAATGCCTCAACCGCCCCAAAATTGGTCACAAAATGAAAGAGATGAATCACATGATACAAAAAATCTTCCAGGTATTAAATCTCATGATATTTATTCTTCCTTTCATAGTATAATGTAGTTAGATAATGTTTATATAAATAATAAATTTGCCTCTTTTTATCCTTGATTATTTATAGATTCTAATGAGAGTGAAGAGAAATCTAAGCGAACTAGGGGTCACACTATGATGCACTCGGGATGGGGAAAGATGGTGGAAATTTACATATTGAATTGAATGAACATGGTCAAGTTATTGGATCAGAAGGAACTAGATTGAGTTCAAAACTTGGTGTGCTAGCACGAAATGGCATCTTAGCGCCACTGAATCATAAAGATTGGAGGCTTGTACCTAGTATGTACAAGGATAGAATATGGGCTCATATCAAGGTTCTTAGTATACACAAAATCTATATACTAAGATGTTTTTGTTTTTATATTTTATTTTATAAATGAGTTGTGTATTAAATATATGTACAGGAAAATACTGACGCAACTGATGACATGAAACACATACTGATGATGTCATTTAGATCTAAATGGAAATAATCAAAGCATGAAGCAAAAACCATTGGATATGACCCATATAACACTGATATTGAGCATTTAGCTCATTGTCCAGATAGAGTTGAAGAAGATCAGTGGCGTTCATTAGTTCATTATTGGAGCTCAAAAGAAGCAAAGGTATGTGCTAGATTTCTATTTCTGCATTTGTTCTACTAAATGAGAATTTCATAGAAGTTGTCGTAAATTATTGAAGTCGTGTTTTCCCTGATTATACTTCTTATTGTAGAACAACTAGAACTTCTTTCTGATTTGTCCCTTTCTTCTAAATGGCAGAAATAATGTTGTTGTACATGTCTAGTTTGCCAACCTGCACAAAATGTTCTTGTATAGAAATTGATTGCACTTTGTGAAACTCAACTATGCTGCTTTTTTATATTTTTTCTTGGCTATTTCTTTTATATATTCAAGATTGCGCATGTCCTTCTCATATATTTGTTGTTGTTACTAAATTTTCGTAAAGGAAAAGAGTGAGAGAAACAAAGAAAGTCGAAAAAAATTGACTATGCCACACACATCAGGGAGAAAATGTCATTCTCAAATTATAGACAATGTACGAAGTAATCACTATTTATTTTCTATAATTTATATATTAAATAATACTTCTCGTGAATATTTAAAGTCAAATCTCTTACTATTCAAACAGATGACAAAGATGAATAATGGTGTGAAGCCAACTCGTATTGAGGTGTTAAAAAAAACTACACATTAGAGCGAATAAAGAACCAGTAAATGAGATAGTTGGTGAAGTTATGGTAAACTCTTACTCTTTAAAAATATATAGGTACTTTATTTCTATTAAATTTTTTTTAAAAAAACTTCTCATTACTTTACCTTTCTTTCATAAAGAAACAAATGGATGATCTTGCCGAGGTGTATCCTGAGTTGAATGTCCCTCGAAGTGCTCCTAATGATGTGTACTCCCAAGTAATGGGATCAGACACTCATGGAATTGTCCGAACTCTAGGAAAAGGAGCGTCTCCTAGCTTAGTATATGGCCCCGTATATAAATGATCTCAGGCTGAAAAAAGAGATTTTGATACAAGGGTTGAGATGGAAGTTCAAAAAGCTACCTCATCTATGAAAATTGAGATGACAGAAAAGATGTATGAAGCAAAAAGAGAGATGAAAGCGATGGATAAAAAGTTGTTAGAAGCGAAAGAGGAAGCAAAAGAGAATAACGAAGTGATGGAGAGAAAATTATCGGACGCAAAAATGGATATGGAAGAAATTATAGCGGATAAAGTGAAGGAAGGAATACAAGCATATGTAGAGTCTTTGGGAATTAATGTTGATGCAAATTTAAAATTAGAGCAGGTGAAATAATTGTGTTGCTCACAAAAAAATACTTTTTTTAGATGAAAACTTAGTTTCTCTTAATTATAATAGTCTTCCTCTTTTGCAATAGGTTCCTGATAATCCACTTAAAGATTGTCAACAACCATCATCACTTGGTCCAGGTGTTCACACAAGAAAGGTTAGAGAAAATTTCATTAAAATTTTGAATTTTATTTTAATTGCGTAAATCCTAACATCTATATGATCACAAGATCAACTAATTCCTCTTTCTTGTTTAATATGGATTAATCGACAAACTGTTAATTGCGCGTCATGTACACATAAACAGTCTAAGTGTTCATCTTTTTCTTTTGGTTGTTGTTGTTGTTTTTCAGTTGGTATAATGAAATTATAAACTGTGTTAATTTATCATATTATTGTCAACTGGTCTAATGATCATTGTAGTCTTGATCCGTATATTAGTTATCTATTTTGTTGCTCTCGGGTTGTCACCAAGAATGTAGTCCACCTAGAACAACATCAAATATGATGATTAGTTCACCAAGAACACATTGCTAGTTCCATGCTTCAAGTTATGATGAATCTTCATAATACAGGCTTGTAGCTCTCTATCAAAGTTAAAATCTTTACATGAGACTTAGAGAATGAGAGAAGCTCATTCAGAGAAACAGAACCAGAAGAACACTTGAGGTATTTGCCAGCAGAGGCCAAATAGTTAGAATAAGTAGCGGCAAGGAATGCAGCACTAGTAACAAAATACATATTGTTCCATCTTTGCCTATAGATGAGACCTCCAGGAGTTTTCTGGGTATTTCTTTCATCCTTTGCAAGACATGAACACATAAAGTTCTTTGCTTTCTGCTGGTACTTCTCAAATACAGGTGCATTATGACCAACTTTACTAGACATAAAGAACTGCCTGGACTGTTTGGCAGATCTTGAGTAGTAAAGTTCTTTGCCTGGACTGTTTGGCATATCTGGTTCAACAAGATTAATATAAGAGTTATGAGTAATAATATTTTTACCTGTATGACTGTGACTTTTCTGGGAATTGTCCTGATCCATTTGTTCTTGAGGTGTCTTAGGTCTCCCCTCATAGTTTGTATTTTTTTTTAAAGAGAGAACATTTTCCTAAATCATTATAGAAAATTGATATTCAGTTCCAATGAAGAGTACAATCCAGAAAACAAGAGTTCATGGTTTAGCATCACATAAATCTAAATGAGGATCAATGTCGAAAAAAATGTCAACTTGAACCATGGAAGGCACGAAATAGATCAACTGAAAAAGGATCAATGGAACGCTCTTTTACAAACTGCCTGATTGCTACGATATGCTTCCTAGAATCAATGGGAAGCTCTTTTACAAACTGCCTGATTGCTAGGATATTCTTCCTAGAATCAGCAAGTCTAAGGTTTTTGCACTCTGACACGTGTTGCTCATACGCCTCAAAACTGTTTCCAAACAGTGTCATATTACTCAATAGATCATGCCTCCAATTTGCCTCTAGAAGATTCTCATATAGTTCAACATAACAATGTGGCATGAAGAACATCGTAGGTCTTAAATCTTATCATCGACCCTGTTCATTAACTGTTAGGACAGAACAACCGAGAGATGTCAGCACCCTAGATTCTGCCAGAGAGATCAATGGATCAAATACCTCTACCTCCCCAATCCAACTAAACATTCTTTTCATTAAGATTGCAAGACTAAGCTGTAATCTAGGAGGCTCATACGATTCTATGCTACCAATTCCATATATTACCATCTGCATCTTTCCTTCTGAGCCCATAACTTTTAGAAACCTATCAACTATTTCAGGGGTTTGTAACTGATCCAAAAATGTCAACCAGAAGGAAGAGCTCTCGAGTTTCCTAATGCAGGTTTGTATCTTCTGCATCAATTTAGATTCTCTCTCTGGATTGGTCTCAATATCTTGATGACCATCTAGAATGAGTTATTTATATGCTTCATAAGGTTGATTGTTGAACATGCCTAAATATGCTTTTATGATGCTTCATGAGGTTGATTGTGGAACATGCCTAAATGTGTTTTTATGAAGAGTTGCATAATGTGCTTAAGGATGTTATGATGAACATGATCTGAGTTGGAGAAAGAAGTTCCTCCAATGAAATGAGAAATGTTGTTGTTTTGGTTCATAATGAGTTTGTAGATGTAGTTCCTACCTTCTTGTTTTGCCTTGACCTTTTCAATGTGGAGTTAATGTTTCATCCTACTTTTGTGCATTGTTTATAATGTTGCATGCGTGATGGGCTGCTAGTCTTGAGTCGTTATCACTTAAAGTGATTAAAGTGTCACTCGAGGACGAATGTTCCTAAGAAGGGGATAATGTAACGACTCGTAAAATGATAGGTTGAACTAGAGCCTTAACGTGAGGGTTAATGTCAAGAGTTAAGGGCAAGGGCTAAGGGTTTTAAGTATAGGCCATGTTTTGGGAACCTAGGCTACCTAAAACTAGGCCTAGCTACTGCCTTCCTAGACCACGAGGGTCTTCACGACACGTGGTAGCCACCACAAGTCATGGTGCCACATGTGGTTGGCTAGGCAGTAAGCCCTAGAATGGTGCCAAGCCAAGGCTCTCTTTCACGATCCACTTCACGGCTCGTGGTCATGACCACGGGCCATGGGAAGGCTCGTGGTATTGCCTTAGCTTGATGAGGGTTGTGTCTTAATGAGGGAGCTACTGCCCCAAAGACCACGGGTACTACCACGAGCCGTGATGCCCTAGATGGTCCGTCAAAATGGTCATGTAGATCACTTGGCCTCAAGGGGAGGCAAGGCAGCTTGGCCAAGCCACTGCCTTAACACCACGACCATCACCACGACTCGTGGTCTTGACCATAGATCGTGGAAGGTTTTGTGGTCCTCCCTAAGGCCCTTGAGGGATTATGAAGGTTGATAGGCACATTTCCTAGGGGACCACAGGCACCTCCACGAGCCGTAGTTCCCCTCACGACCCGTTATGTTGGGCGTGGTCCCTGGCGGGGCTGCCTAAAATGGGGAGTTTTAAGTAATTTCCCTTTTATTAATAATTATGTTGGCTTGATTTTAAATGGTTTATATCACTACTATATATAGTTTTAAGTCTTTAAACAAGTAATTTACTCCTTAATTCCCCAAACCAAAACAAAGAGTTCCTCCTTCCAAAAATTCTCTCTCTAAACTCAAGGAAAAAGAAGGGAGCCATTGAAGCTAGGGTTTGTGGATTCAAGATGTTTCTTCTTCAAATTTCATGGGGAATCAATAGCAAGGTATGGTCATCTTCATCCTTGTTGAACTTTTCATTCAACGAGCCAATTCCAAAGGTGATTTCAAGTTATCAAAAACCTAGGGTTTTACTCAATCTAATGGGTTCCTTTATCAAACATTTCAAATGGTTATTAATGTCGTATTATGATTGTATTAGTGTTTAATTGATGATTTATGATGAAAATACTCTATGAACCCATGAATTCTCTTAATTCCTAAATTGTGCCTTTATGAAGTGGGTTTGATGATTAAGAAAGCTTAAGAATGGAATATGTCTAAATTTCTTTGGGTTATAGAATTGTATCATTATCTATGCCTTAATTATGGTGAATTGTTGGTGTGTTGGTGATTTGAGATTCGTGGCCTTGAAGGGAAAATTATGATCAAATTACATATTGAAGTAGAATTGTGCATGATCTATTGATCCACTTGAAAGGTGGAGGTGTTTTCTTACTATGAATATTGTGGTATTAAATTGATGGATATCTTCCTTGTACCTCTATAAATGAAGTATCTATGTATGATCATGATGTAAAGTATATGTGTGTGATTTCAATGAAGGTATAATGATCATGTTTAGAATGAAATTGTGTTATGATTGAAAGTTTATTCTCAATTAAGACTCATGAATGATGATAATGAAATGTAAAGGGTTTTCTTCTATGAATTGTATATCTTGGATTGGTAGGCTTAGGCATCTTTTCTTGTATAATGAATATATCTTGACTTAATGTCTTAATGACTTGAATTGGTAGACCTAATGTTGGTGCCTTTCATGAATGAATGAATGAGAAAGTATTGTAGGCTAAACCTTGGATCGGTTGACCTAATATTGGTGGCCCTTCATGAGGAATCTAGGAACTAATGAAATATTAAAACCTTGAAGCGGTAGACCGAATGTTGGTGGCCCTTTCATGTGTGAAATGATGAACCTTGTATCGGTAGACCTAATTTTGGTGGCCCTTCTTAGAAAGTCAATGAGCTATCCTTAATGTACCTTGAACTGGTAGACCTACTATTGGTGGCCCTTTCATGTGTAATGTACCTTGGGTCGGTAGGCCTAATGTTGGTGACCCTCTCAAGTACAATAATGTAATGTGAATGAACTAGTCTATAGGAATGGAGGCCAAGCACTGAGTGGATATGGTAAGATGGTGACCCTCCCAATGTTATGTTAGTGTCCAATGAACATCTTTCTTATCCCATAACTATTTGCCCACCTAGGTAAAACACACTTAGTTCTACCTTAGGGAAGTGTAACACTTACCTTCGATGTAGGGTTATATGACACCGGATTCCTTGATTTAGCTCTCATGGTGTATGTCGGTTAATGCCTATTCCCATCATGTGAGATGTGCATTATGGTTTCTTGATGAGTTCTATGAAATGTGGGTGGTAGTATGTGATGACATCCATGGATCGCACGAGTAGGCTTCGAGAGGGTCATAGTGAGTTCTCTATGTCTTGGATTGTATAATGAGTTACTTCCTTGTCATGACTTATTGAATATGAATGTACTTTGCCTGTGGTGATTTGAAAGTAGTACTTAGTAAGTAGTAGTATGGGATGCAACTTTCACATTCCACAAGTATGACTTAGGGTTGTCTTAGGTGATGGTCCTTATGTGATGATATGGCTTATGTAATGTTTATGTCTCTTATGTATGAGTATTGTGTAAGGATGGAAAGGTTGAATGGTAAGTTCAATTTTGGTGACCTTAAGGTGGTACGTTGGTATGGATGGTGGTAGGGAACGCTATCCATACATTGCACAAAGTATAGCTTGAGGGTTACTTGAGGTGAAGGTTTAATGTGAAGGTAATGGTTTATATGATGATTATGTTCTAAAGTGATTAAATGACATGTATGATATTTATGGTTGAATATTATGCCTTTTATGCTTATGTTTATGAAGTTTTCTCAAAATGGCATATATCATGACTTTCAAACAAAATGTCCGTTTTAAGCAATTTTTTGCATGGCTATCATACTTAGTACTTAATTACGCTAACCCATATTTCTCTTATATTACTACAAGTGTAGGTTCCGGCAAGTGAGTTGCTATTCTTCTAGTTCAAGGGCTTGGATTGAGATTCCTCCAAGACTAAGGGATATGTCCTCATAGATCGAGGACAAGTCTTTAGATGTTTCTTTTCTTCGATGTAATAGACATTTCTAGTCTTTCTGATTGTAAAGGGTCGTGACCCTACTTTAGTTTTCAAGACATTGTTTAGATTTCCATGTGAGACTATAGACTTCCATTGTGTTTCAAGTGTTTTTTAAATAAAGTTTGATTGTTTGGATTTAAAGAAAAGTTTTTAAATTCCACACTATTTCTATGTATCGAATCTTATGAATGCTAAGAGGCTTGTATGAGACCCCTTCTGGGTCAAGTACGCAGTGTAACTTCCAGGGTATAGGCTCAGGTAGTTACAAACTTGGTGTCAGAACATAAGATTTTGGAAATGCTTTTTAGGATTGATGTCTGACAAGCTACGTCTAGTAGAGTCTTGTTCATCGGTGTGAGTCGCGACACATCTATAAGTGAGAGGCTATAGGACGTTAGGAAGTTACACTTCTTTCATTATTCTTGAACTCGTGCCATAGAGTTTAACTCTAGAATGCCTTTCTCTTACTCCTTATATGATGGTCTTTAGGGTATGACCATTTGAAAGGTTTATGGTAGTAGTAGTGAGGAAGAAAGGTTGGCTGCCTAAATCAAGTCATTTACTCCTTATTTCCCCAAATCTAAACAAAGAGTTCCACTATTAAAAAGTTATCTCTCTAGAGTCAAGGAAGAAGAAGGGAGCCATTGAAGGTAGGGTTTGTGGATTCAAGATGTGTTTTCCTCAAATTTCATGGGGAATCAATAGCAAGATATGGTCGTCTTCATCCTTGTTGAACTTTTCATTCAACGAGCCAATTCCAAAGGTGATTTCAAGTTATCAAAAACCTAGGGTTTTACTCAATCTAATGGGTTCCTTCATCAAACGTTTTCAAATGGTTATTAATGTCGTATTATGATTGTATTAGTGTTTAATTGATGATTTATGATGAAAATACTCTATGAACCCACGAATTCTCTCAATTCCTAAATTGTGCCTTTATGAAGTGGGTTTGATAGATTGTGAAAGTTTATGAATGGAATATGTCTAAATTTCTTTGGGTTGTAGAATTGTATCATTATCTATGCCTTAATTATGGTGAATTGTTGGTGTGTTGGTTATTTGAGATTCGTGGCCTTGAAGGGAAAATTATGATCAAATTACATATTAAAGTAGAATTGTGCTTGATCTATTGATCCACTTGAAAGGTGGAGGTGTTTTCTTACTATGAATGTTGTGGTATTGAATTGATGGATATCTTCCTTGGACCTCTATATATGAAGTATCTATGTATGACCATGATGTAAAGAATATGTGTGTGATTTCAATGAAGGTATAATGATCATGTTTAGAATGCAATTGTGTTATGATTGAAAGTTTATTCTCAATTAAGACTCATGAATGATGATGATGAAATGTAAAGGGTTTTCTTCTATGAATTGTATATCTTGGATTGGTAGGCTTAGGGATCTTTTCTTGTATAATGAATGTATCTTGACTTAATGTCTTAATGTCTTGAATTGGTTGACCTAATGTTGTAGCCTTTCATGAATGAATGAATGAGAAAGTATTG